AATATTCCGTATACAAATTTGAACGATCGTGAACCAAAATTTGCGTAATTAACCAATCTGATCAAAGTGAAGCACGAATCAAATTCTCAATTTCCGATCTACAAACAGCATTTTCACAAAATTTCGCAAACCTGTGATGGATTCGAGGCTTTGGTGAACAATACGAGGCTTTGTCTGTATCGTCAATCGATGGACGCCTCGTCATTTGCTTCATAAAAAGATAATTCTGAAGAGAGTTGAAGAGAGAGTCATCAACAGAAACCCTAATTTACTGTTCAATTCTCTCTCTCTCTCTTCTCTGTATGTATTGACAGATCCGCATCTATTCTCTAGATTTGATTTCGAATGGCAAAGAACCCTAAAATAGAGAATACGGTGTCTGAGTTTAAAAATAAATATAAATACTTAACTAAATACGGGCCGCCCAATCGATACGCAGTTACGCACGGCTTTAATATGGTAAAATTATATTAACGCCCCATTATTCATATACTTCTTCAATTATACCCCTGCTTTGAATTTTTAAAATAATAAAAGATGTTTGGAAATTCACTTTTCTTCATGGATTCATAGAGTGGGCCGCAATCCTTTTTCTCTATGTATATACATTAATGATTGTAATATTGTATCCCTGGTTTAAATTTTTTAAATATATATTAGATTTTCTAATGCATGTATTTTTTTTACTAAATTTAATATATTTTTTACATTTTCACCTTTTTGCAAAATAATTATAATATCAATCAATGTTTCAAATATGCGCTTTTACGTCTAATTTTGTGAATAAATACTCACGTAGTGATTGTTTTCACTTCAAAACTAAATTGTTTTTCATATTTAATGTTGATAAATAACTAAATAATAACATATATAGTAATTTTTAAAATTTTGTATATTTATATTTTGATAAATAGCTTTCGAATCCTCACCCGACTCAGTTATTTATATATATTTTTTATTCAAGTTATTTATACGTATTTAAAAATGTATATATTTGTATTCGTTAGTGTGTGTTGTGCGTATATGCACTTTATTTGATTTACTTGTTCTTTAGATAAATTTTATTTTATGAAAAAAAATGCAAAGAATCACATGAAACAAGTCGATGGTGGGTCAATTAAAAGGAAGATAGGTCATAAATGCGCATTTAACCCTTTTTTTTTCTTTTTTTCTTTTTTTCCATGTTCAAGCTTGTGAATATGGATGTATGTCTTATAAGTGATAGATAATTAGACAACGTACAGGCTTGGGGTGACATAAATAAAAACTTGTTTTTGTACTTTCCTTGCTCGTATGACTAGTTAATTTGTGAATGGTATTGGAATTAATTCACTCACTCAGTAAATATTATGGTACATATATAAATTTTATAATTAAATAATAAAATTACATAATTTTATATTTTTTAAGTCATAACTAAAAATAAATAAAAACCAAATATAACATGAGACATAATTAAAATAATATTATATCTAAACAAACAAATAACCATACTAAAAAAAAAGGAGATTTACCAATAAATCCCAAATTCTAATCTTTTGATCCGTTTAGTCCTAACTTTAATATTGTAAACCAATAAGTCCTATCCCAGTGTTGAAGACCAAGTTGTCCATGTTTTATGACACAAAGTAAGGGTAATTGTGGGTTTTGTTGATACTGAATTTACACGAATGCCCCAAATATGCTCCAAAGTGAATATTGGTTTCCCTCCGAGACAATCAGAATAGAAGAGACGTAATAAGAAATTTGTGCTTTGTTTTGATGTTATTGGGATATTGGATGGTGTGTTGATGATCTATGTGTAATGGATACACGTTGATTCAGTGTGGATTGATACTCTGAGTTGAACATTCATTTTCTTCATAAACCCTAGAAACATACGAAGCCCCCCATTGTGGCCAAACATTTACGTTGTGAATTGGAAGAGGTCGTCGAGACGTTGCATAGTGGTGCGAAAAAAAAACAACCTTCAATCGTTGTCACCGGTGATTGTGACATCACAAATGACGTCGGGTAAGTTGTTTCGTTGTGTATGTAAAGTAAATGATAAATTCGGTGTTGTTCGGTTTGAGTTGTGGAAGTGTTTTGAAGTGTATTGTACTTCGTTGAAATGTGTAAAGTGTTGATGTTATTGAGTAGTGTTGATGGTCGGAACAACGAAATGTGGGTTGAATGTAATGGGATTAGGTGCATTTCGTTTGTTACATAATTAATTATTTTTAATTCCACATGAAATGTGGTAATGTTGTTTTGGATTCCTGTGTGTAGTTGTTGTGTTTTGTTAACTGTTTATGTTAATTTGTGATTGGGGTTTGTCCGTATGAGGGGTATTTACATATGAGGGTATTTACACATTAATGGTTATGGTAATTTGTTAACAATTCCTCTGTTTTTGATTTGGTGTACATTAGATTATGGTAATGCGTTATGAGAATGTCATTTATAGAATTAGGAGTTTTGTGTAGTTTACAGCGCTATGCAATGTTGGTATGTGATCACGTTCCAGGTCGTTATAGTATTAGGAGGTTTGAGGTGTCAGGATGGAGTAGTTGATTGTGTTGTGGGGTTACGCCGTTCATGCATGGTTGTTGTGATGTTTGTAGGGTTGGATTTGGTTGGTACTAGTGTATGAACATTAGTTGTTTTGAAAATACATGACGTACATGCATTCTGTTTGAACGCAATGTAACGGACTTACAATAATCTACTGAAAATTATGGCACGAAATACGGACTTACGATAGATAGTGCTTTGTTGTGTGTTAAGATTCCGTGGAGTTGGTAGCAGTGGACGTATTTGTTTGTGGAAGTGCGTATGTTGTTATGTACACAAGATTGCCATTGCATGTGTGGTCTTTGACTGGTTTGGTAATGTGTAGTGGGGTGTGTGATGTGTGATGTTATGTATGTTAACTGTAATTGGTTTTGCATACGTTGCGTCTTTCGTTATGAATATAATTTAGTTTGGGTTTTTAAATACATGTTTGTTTAATATTACAATTTGTGTCATTAACGTGTTTATTTTTGGGTTTTGCTCTAACGTAGGTGTGGCAATGATAGCAGGTAGCATTGATCACCAACATGGGAAACAGACTACTAAGAACAGTTCACCACGTTCGCAACGGACTGGCAACGTGTCCACAAGGTTGGCCACGAAGAGGTAAACCCGACTGTCATTCAAGAAACATAAAGTAAAGTGTGGTACTGTTAAACATTTTGAGATCGACACCGCGAGACTAATGTACCGGTCCAACATTTCGGGGGTCATCAAGACCGTGCTTGAGTTAGAGTGGGTGAATGGCATATTCGGCAATTGGAGAAAACCCCATTTTGGCCAATAATTAATGATATTCGTGTCCCGAATCTAGATCCAAGAGCATATATGAAGTGTGATGCAATGGTTTGCCGAATAATTCAAACGTATGATTCAACGGATGAGAAGTTTTATGTTGGTGGGATTGGACTTCCATTGAGGAAAACGACATCTGATTGATGTTTAGAATACAATGTGGGAAAAACAAATTAGATTTGGCACACGGTGTGAAAGGTCCGTCGAATTTTACGCAGAGGTGGTATCCGAATGTTGGTCGGATGTTTTCGAAAGTAATCAAAGATTTGCTCATAGAGACAATTTGTGGTCATACAGAACGGGACGAGGAAGATGTAATGAAGCTGCTTTCCCTTTATATCTGTGCTAAATTGTTTTTTGCAACTACGGGTGAGCATATAGGTTGGGCATTTGTGCGCATGATTGACAAACTTGAAAGCCTAAGGTTATACGACTGGACTGCGACAATCTATAACACCCCGATTAATTCACTGAATGAAACGCACGACAAGCCAGAGAGGGTTACAAGTTGTGTTGTTGTGTTACTGGTACGTATGCCATGCAAACTACCATAGCGCATATGTTGCTTCACATACACATTTATATTTTTTGTACGTGTTTATCTAACGTATTTGCTGACATTGTCATTTTAGTTTCTTATTTGTGAGCACTCGGAGATTGTGAAACCTGAATGCAGTAATGTGACGCCTCAATTTTGTAAATGGAACATTAGTACACTTACAGGGAGGTTAAAAAAGGGTAAATTTGACGGCGAAAGGCTCCATTAAGGTATAGCACGAAACATTTTAAAAAATGTTGGTTTTAGTTGTCTATAAGTAATTATTTATGTTTGTGATACTATTTACATCTTGCAGATTAACTGTGATAAAATTGTTGGAAGAAGTGATGAATGTTATTTATTAAAACCGGCTCCAGTTATGTCACGACCCAAACCCGCCCCTAAGGGTTTAACATCGTAACCGGCTAGTAATCCGCGATTATCGAAGGTCTGAATGACAGTAATAATAGTAGTACAGTATAAAAGGGGCTAGCGGAAGCCAAACAGAAATAACGAGGTGTCCAATGAGCAGTGAAAACCTGAATAGGAAAAAAAACTTTTACGAACTAATCCACATTTATAACCACATATATATATATACATACATATCAGATACACATAATATGCAGGTTAGGGATCTAATCCCTACACCATAACTGTACAGCCAAGTCTAAAACATTCAATACATAACAGAGACAAAAGGGTGAATCTAAGACACCCTAAAAACAACCTTGGCTCGAGCAGACTCGGAACCTCGAAGTGAGGCACAACGGTTGCCTTGACAAAGCATGAGCTTAACTTGACGCTTCTAGCTTCGGTTCGGTGCTTGGCCACCTACATACATATATAAACTGTGAGTTAAAGTCCAGTGAATAACAAATGTATAAAGGGGTTAAGAATAAATGTCATTTCAGTAATTAAAACAGTCATTTGCATCAGTAGATTAGTTAGTCAATTAGTGGCTCATATTTCATGCCATATCAGTCAATTAGAAATCATAGCAATCATATGTGGTACATTCAATAGCAGAACAGTATAGTAGGTCTTTGTAGACCGAACAGTCAGTTGATGGCCATCGAAACAGTATACAGTATTGGTTCCAAACATTGGAACTAACAGAGATCTCTGTAACAGTAGCAGTAACAGTAACAGTACAATGACAGTAGTAGTAACAGTAACAGTAAGATGCTATGGATGCCACGAATACAGTTCATAAAATAGGACAATCATTCATTCAGTAAACAATGTCACTTCAGAAAACAGTACAGTCGATTGTTCAGAAAATAATTATAATTGAACATATCTTTACAACATTGTTACTCACAGATTATTGGGCTATAGGCAGGCTAATCAACATCTTCGGGTGCCAACCCTACACAGTTGTAGAACGAACACACACTAAGTTACACACTCGGGATTAATAACTTAGCCCCTAACTTGACTTGGTGTGATTCCATAACATTATCCCCATTATGATGCCTTAAACAG